TATGACACCTTGGGTTTGGCTGCTGTTTTGAGACCCAAAATAATACTGCAAAATTTGTGTAGAAAGAAGCTTGGATGGGATGAAGAGATTCCTGATACAGACGAAAATTGACGTTGGCAAGAATGGCTGTACAACTTGCCCTGGTTAGGAGAATAGTTTGAAGTCAATTGATGTATTGCGCCAAATGACAGTGGAAACGCAATTACATAATTTTTTCCAATGCGAGCAATATAGGCTGCAATGCGGTTTCGTATATAAGAATGATAAATAAAGAACACCAAATACATTGTTATTTCATCATGGGTAAAAGCAGAGTGACACCCCTTAAGCACGTCTCTAAAAGATGTTTGGAGTTGTTGGCCGCCACAGTTGCTGTTCGCATGGGCAAGCTGATCGAGAAGAAATTGGACGAAAAGCATGGCTGTGTTGTGTTGCCAGCATCCAAGCCATACCAATGGGGCTATGTCAACACTAGTCATAATCCAGCAGATGATGGTTCTAAGAGGCAGTCAATTCAGATGTTTTTCAAGAGTAATATATGGATTACCAGGCCTGAATTCCTTTGGCAAACACAAAGCCAGTTTCCCCTTAGATCCTGTGATAGCCAACTGAGAGATGGTGAGCCATAGGACAAACAACATGTGATCGTGAATGCAGTGTCTACTCACTAGCAGTATTTGTTGTTGTTGTTGTTGAAACGTTGCACGAATGATCAAGTGTGTTAAACAAGAAGCATCTCGTGAAGGAATTCACAGTATAAGAAGTGTGAAGAAAATGGTATAGCAAAATAGCCACATATACAAGCTAGATTTAGTGTTTGGAGATGATGGTTTGTTGCTCAAAGACTCAAAATATCAACTAATTCCGCAAAAGGGAGTACAATTGTCAATGCTTATACTTCGGAAGTGGTTATATTTTGTCCAAGGAGAAATATTGGAGCCCAACTGCCAATTCAGCAACAGGGAAGTTGATTTATGGAAGTATAGAGCCAGAATTGGAGAACAAAAATGGCTGGCTTGCCATCAAATACACTGAAGGCGGATGAACAACCATTCACCCAAGTAGGTTTGGACTATTTTGGTTCTATTGAAGTGAAACAAAAACGTAGTAAGAGCTGTCTTTACTTGTTCGACAGTGAGGGCAGTACATATAGAGAAAGCAGAATTGTTAGCACTGACTCATTCATCAATGCATTGCAAACATTTATTGCAAGAAGAGGTGCTGTAAAACTCATTAGATCTGATAATGGTAGCAACTTTGTGGGGGCACAACAAAAATGCAAAATTTGAACCCGTCAAAGTTTAATACAGAACCGAATAAACTGGAGATCCAATTCTCACTTCTTACTTAATTGGAGTTTGGGAGAGGCAGATTCGCAGGATCAGACAAATCCTGCAAGCCATTATCAAAGATCAACAATTGGGTGACGATGGTCTGCGGACATTCTTCTGTGAAGTTGAGCAAATAAGGAACAGTAGGCCGGCATGGAAAGCATGGAAGGCTGAAAACCCATCAAAACTTCAAGATTTGGGATGTGGTGCTGATATGGCCAGAATTGTTGACATAATGGCGAGTGAAATAAGCCATAATATCATTGAACAGCCATACAACAAACTCTGCATGTTAGTAGCTATAGAAGGCTACAATCAATACGATTGTGAAATTATAGGAATTAATTAATTTTTCGGATTATTGTTGGTATGTACTTTATCAAATTGCGTTGTTGGTATGTACTTTAATCAATTGTCTTTGTTGATGTGTACGTTATCAAATTTTAGGAACTTGGAAGTGTGTCCTTGAGATCTTGGGGTGATTAATTGGCGTTTTAATGATAAGTATGTAAAAATTGTGATATGCATCATGCATATTACCAATTTATGGATTGTGGTGTAGCCACCATTTTGCTTGAATATGAAAGTTGTCTATCTTTGTTTGTTTTTTACTATGTCTAATTGTTCTGAATGTAGCTCAGGTAACGTGAAATCTCATTCAGCTAGGCAGGCCATTAGGGTTGCCCCTATTGGTATTAGACTTAGGACTCTCTGGCCTTGTTTATAGGACTGGACGGCTGCACGGTAGTTTTATAGAGTTTTTCCTCGATTTGAATGGCTTCTCATGTCGTTTGAACAGCACACTTAAATAGTTGAATATTTTATTTACCTACCTGTAAATGAAGTGCTGAATAAATCATTACACAATAAAGTATAAAGATGTTCTGTCATCGCAGTCTTCTTGTGTGTTAATTTTGACACGTCGTCAGTCACTGTGGTACACAATCTGACGAGAGCTTGTACGTATAACAGGACGATTTATTCCAGTAGGTTTAATTTTAGCAACGATTTGGAACTTATGAGACTCATGTGGAATTACGTATAGGAAGTTAGAGTTTCGTCTATCATGGTTTGCATTTACAAAGTACATGTATTTGGGTAAGAGTTCTTAGGCCCCCTTCACTCATAACTCTAATCCTAGCCATGCCCTTTCAGTGCATTTCCCTCCTTTAATTACTCATATCTCCCTTCAGGTCACAAAACACACTTTCTGTTTAGACTAATGCCATACAAAATAACTCACCACAAGCTGTATAAACAGAAAAGAGAGTTATTTCAATTCACAAAACCTATACAAATTACACCCAGTAGTGAACACACTTTAAATCGTATATATAGATGTTTGTATCAGTTTTGCTGTGTTATTTCCCCTCTGTTAAATTTCGTTGAATTAAACTTCAATTACAGTATAGAGTTGCATTTCTATATTTAGTTTAATTAAACTAATGTAATGATTTACTTTCCATTGGAGATATGAGTGTAGGTCTGTGTGCGAGCATGGTGTATGTGTGTTTCTCCAAGACACTACTTATCTGAAAATAAAAAAAACTGTGGTTATAAGTGCTTGATTTGATAATGTGTTAATGCTTTGCCAAACAATATATCACATCACAAGCTTTCATCAATCAACGAAAATATAATCACGCGTGTTCAAACAGGTATGCAAACATATGCTTTGAATACACCTGCAAAGGTCCATGAGGATTTCAGTCCTGGCGATTCCATGTCAAACAAGAATAAATCAAGAATACCGTTGTTTGAAATTTAAAAAAATTGGCAACGGTGATTTAAAGTATGAATAAACTGTAATTAAAAATAACTTTATAACTGAAAGCAATGCAACTATGATAACGTCCACTGAAACAGACTTGTGAAACAAATAAAATGTTTGTGACACTATGCCAAGTGCAGTTTCAACTGGTAGACGATGAAATGGTACAAACTTCTCCCTTAATGTTCTTCTGGTTTTCTTGCTCGTTCTCCTATTCTGGTGAATCGAACTGCGATATGTATGCACATCAATATAAATCTGGCGGGCATCAATAAAACAGCTAGTCAGGTGAAGGCACTGACCAAGCCCACCTTTTCTTTGTCATCGAGCATGTTGTGTTCCGTCAACTGTCAACTCATTTTCTAGGAGACCAAATAATGTGTCTGTCGGTATTTTTAATCAGAATAACTAAGTTATCACTATCTAATAAAGGAATTAAAAACGAATTGTTGAAAATGCGACTGACATGCACCCTACCCTGTTAATATGATCATTTACACTTTTAAACAAAATTGCAGACATGCACAGCTTACAAGAACAAAATACAGATTAGCAAATGACATTCAAGCTAGTAAAATACAACTTGAAAGGAAATAAGTTACAATGAACAGATGTATAAGAATCCACGCGGCTAGTGGGGGGGCAGATGGGATATGTTAGTCCGTAATATATGTATTATGTGAAAACCTTGTTTAAATTTATTTAAGCAGTTATATTTATGTTACTTTTATCTCACTAATTTATATATTCAATATGTTCTATTTCGTCACCAAAGTCTCTCTCGTTTGTTAGGTAAACAGCAAAATTGGTTTGATAGAGCCAACTGTCGCATACAGCCCAAATCAAAAAAAATAGTACTATTTTTGAATAGTTCTACCTTGTGATATTGTAATGGTATTTGATTATATCTTTCGTCGTTAGAGTTCCGAGCGCAATAGACACTTGGCAAAGAATGGGAGGCAAGACCTAACAGTTAAGGTATAGGTTTAGGCAATGATGAAAGTACTTTCGTAAATGATCCTATTTTACATTAGGAAATGTACAAACATCCATGTGGTCCAATGTTACTGGCATTCAAGGTGTGTTGCCAGTTTGCCTTACTGCTCATGTACAGTCCTTCTCCGCACTTTAGGGTTAAAGTACACTGCCAAAGTTTCAACATATCACCTAATACCAGTAGTCATTGGGTACCAGTGCATCAAGCTACACAAAACACACATTCATGCATCCGGTACATTCCAGTTCCAGCTTTTAAATGAAAGATGATGTCATCAGCTACGCTTTAAACGAGGTCACTGCAAATATAGTTGTGGAACCAACCACCTATTGATAAAATCGGTATCTAATAACGTTGGACCTAACAAGACTCCGTTTCAAAATGGGCAATACTGGTACATAGTGGTATATTGATACCACTATTTTTATAGTGACTCCTGTCAACTGTGAATTCAGATACCGTACATGAATATTCAATTAGCAGTTTTTCATTTATTACAATTTAAACGATTCTAACCTATTCTAGCTAGAGGTTAAAATTTGTTTTTAATTTTAGAACGCAGAAAAAACTCTTATCAGTTTTACTTGACGCTTAAATCGGCGTTTGTTCGTTTTATTGCAATTGTCAGGACAAGAAAGAGAAGAATAATATGATCTTACAACGCATTTGGCTTCTGTCATCGTTCAGCTCAGTAATCAGATGCAGGATGAGGTATTATACGAAAGACACTTAAATAACATTTTATTTTATTTTTTTATTGAATACAATCTGAAACATAATGGTACAGATCTATGAAACATAATATATGACCCCTACCCATCACCTTCAACGCTGCCGGACCTCCCCATGAATCTTTTACATCTGATTGGAGCGCCCTCGCACGGTGAAACAAATATTGGGTCAAAGGTAATGTATGTATGTATAGTACAAAATGGCCGACGGTGGAGGACACGGAGCAGTTCCCTGGCCGAATAAGAGGGAAGATTATGAATTACTAGAAGTTATCGGTACGTACATATGTATTTATGAACAAGGATATCTTCCATGCTGTTATTATATATATTGTAAAACACATTCTGTTCGAAAGAGTCGCGCAGGGTCAGAAATGTCACTCGCTACTAATCGCACCGGCATGCAATGAATGGCTTTCTAATTTCTGCTGGAGATTTAATATCATGCTGTGTTTACTGCCGTGTCACTGTATTCACGTCTTGTTACGTATGTTTTGCTCTAATATAGACATGAATGTGATCTGAACAGGCGTCACTAGAATTGTAATAATATATTTGTAGATAAGTATTTTAGGTGATATATGGAACCGTGATCAGTAACCATGATGGAACTGTCAATATAATGCAATTATTAATATTAATTAAATATGACTGTAAACGAAAGTAACTATGAACATTACGCCCTATATCATATAGGGTATATTTTATATTAATATCTACTCGATCATATTCGTCAGTTCAAGTTCACGTGGATATAACAGTGTTCTCCCCAGACTTCATGTCAAGCATCACGACCAATTTGCATAACAATGCATCTAATTTGTATAATTTTTATTTGCATAATAATCAGTTTTTCCCAACAAATATTGTCAATCTACAATTAATTAAAGACAAGATATTTTTATATCTGATAAATTTTATATCATTTTACTGCATTGTATTTTATGTTTTTGTATCAAGTCAAATAAAGTTTGAAATGGAACACCAAAAAAAGGAAACAAAAAATTGAAAAACTTGTGTTATAGCCAGTCAGTGAATATAATGTTATCCATGGATGTAACTGGTTCATCATTGTGTACAAGTTTTAGTGCCCATGTCACTGTCGGTTCATATAAACGTCGGGGAAACATTTTTTAGTTAAATTTATAAAGTCAGCGAGATATCGAAATATGTTGAAATTAATAAATCAATAATTAGAAAAAAATTCTACAATGGCAGTTCGGCGATTTTTCATTGCAATATACCTTGTGAGTACAACGCTACAGTCACCATTGTCAGCTGACGGCATTGTGTTGGATGGGTATTCACTGCTGCTATTGCGATCATTAATGTCACCGGCGATTGAGTGATAACAAATCAGAGTGCAGCAAATCGGGGTTGATCTTCTCGACGTTGCGTGCAATGGGCAAATTATTGCTACTCTAGTTAATTTTTTTTTTGATTTGGAGGCTCTGCACCTTTGAAAGACTTCGCAACATATTGCAGACTTCCGTTTTTATCACTGTCTTTGTATGGCTAACAAAAGCGGGATTACCTACATCGATCAATACATGTTATTGTTTTAAATACGTGCAAGACGAGATTGACACTTGTAAACAAAAACATAAGCATCACGGGTGAGTGACCAAGCGTCACGGACAAAGGGCAAGCTTCACGACCGAGTGTCCAAGCGTCACGGTACCGTGTCGCTTCAGAGGCCTGGGGAGAACACTGATATAATATTCAAATGTGTTTATAAAACCGTAAATTAATTTTGTCGATCACAGGTTTATTAAAACATAGGAAGGGAGGTGTTGTTTAAACTACAGGGTATATTCATGATACAGATTTTCAATTTTAAAAGACCTTTTTGATGATTTTTGCTGCTAAGTGTGATATAAAAATCTGTCTTTCTGACATTTCATTGCTTGGAAATCAGCTGTTATGTCATATTTCATCTTAAAGTCTCATCACCACAATACCTGTATGTACTGTAAAATACTTTATTTTAGCTGGAAATAAGTTTTGCAGAAAAGACTTTTGGGGTGTTTTGTATGGAACTTATTTTCACTTATTTTTGACGAGTTGGATGTAAAATATAGGAAAAAAATAGTATATTCACTGGATTTTATTTTCACTAAATTATTCCTTCAGCGAAAATGAATTCCAAGCGAAAATAAAGTATTTTACAGTATAATATATTACTATAGGTCAGTATAATAAGAAAGGCAATCATAGTTTTTTTCTGGAATATAAAATCTTGCAAACTAGAAACAAAATATTTTCTCACATCATACATGTATAGGTTTGAAATTTCATGTGAAAAAATGTTGTTTATTTCTATAATAATTTGTGAAGTTAGCTAAAACTGGCTCTGCAGACACAATAAAAAACATATCCATGAGTCTCCTGTATTCCATATTATTTTTAAACTGTATGTGTAATTTATAAAAAGCTCTTATGAAAATATTTTCATTTTGTGCTTACACTTTATTAATGTACATGTAATGATGGACATGTATTTCTGGACAATGCACACAGAGAAAAAAAACACACACAAATAAGTACAGTGTATACAGTGAAGGGCATAAAGCTGGGGTTGTTATAAATGTACATTTTTATGAATCAAATTGATGTCAGGATTCAAATTAACCAATCCAGAAATGATATTGTGACGTTATCATTAGTTCTAATACCGTACTCAACCGCATTAGCGCCCAGGGTCCTTAACTCATAAAATCGGGATTTTTTAGGGGGTGGGCGCTAACCCGAGCACCCCCCTCGAAAAAGAGTGCAACTGACAATTTGAATTCATCGTGTGACAGATTAGGGGATATTACGTCTTTAAAAATTTGAGGGAAAATAAAATTACGAAATTAGGTGGAAGATGAAGAAACAGTCAAATATGCTCATTTTATTACAATATTAATTACCTACGATGCGAATTTACGAGATTAAAAATATTTGAGTCTGTTGGAAAACGGTCAAAGTCAAAATCTTCATCAATATCGCCACTGACGAATGTGTCGGATCGTACGCAAACTCTCGATAAAAAGCACTTTCCGCCATGATGTATTTGCATTTGACCTGTATCAACGTCCTTTGACCTAATGGGTCAAGTCTGTTATTATCCAATCAAAAAGCTGTGTGGTACTGACGCAATTCTTCGGAAATTCCCGAAGACTCTCTGGTAATGCAATGCTGATGTGAGTTGTCGATGTCGAAGTACGATCTGTTGGAATTCATTTCAGCGAATAAACGACATGTTTTTTTGTTAAAAATGGTAACTAGCAATTTTTATTGGTAAACTGAATACGGCATGAAATATTCACTGAAATTTTTACTTTTATTAACAGGTCATTGTCGAAGCGTAGTTTACACACGGTTAGCATATTCACGGCGATCGATATCCACGCTGTATCATGATACAAAAACGATTACCAGTATTTGTTAAGCAATGATCAAAGACCAAGTTTTAAATTAGTGTCATTTTGAAGGGGTGGGCGCTTTGGCGAATAAAAAAATTGCGCAAAAGTGGGAGTGGGCACTTGACTGGGCATGGGCCCTAACGCGGTCGAGTACGGTAATATTAATGAGCTAGTTCAACATTATCCAATCAGCAAGAGATGACTGCCGCCCTTTAAGGTACAGCTTTTTATACCCTTTACTGTAATGCTATTATTACATTATTACATGTTTTAAACTTACATGTGAATGAAAATTTGTGATTACAAATAAGGTATTTATTTTTGTCAATGTTTGAGTCATAATGCAGATGTGAGAAATAAATTGAAGCATCATGTCATCATGCTTTGATGTAGAACTTGTTATATAGAAAATGATCCAAATGAAGGTTATAAAATGACATGCCCTCCGTATACATGGTTTTTCTCAAAAGTGTACATTGTTCAATTAATTCCATCACCATTGCAGTCACTATTGAGGATGAGGTATCCCTTAACATACATGTATGTATAGTCATATGAATGGATGCTTTCTAGCTGAAATAATAATTAAAAAAAACATATAGTCCAGGAAGGATTTTAAGCTTTTAATCATTAAATGTACAAACATGCAAGAGGAAAATAAATTAGTGCAAGGTAGCAGTAATGATCTAATAGGTCATCCTTATCTTTTTATGTACCAAGCAAATATGGTCAGAGCATAATCAATTGGAGTAAATAAACTGTGCATGATTATACATGTAGTACATGTATGAAACCACTGTTCGCTAGTGTGGGTTACATTTTATATGTGCTGTCCAACCCATGTGTTTGATGCTGGGTGTGATGACTAACAATTACATAACATGTAGTGTTTTATTTAGCAGCACAGTTGAAATGCCTTCCTATGGCTCAACAGTTGTCGAATGTTACATAGAGGATATCTAATGAGTGACTCGTGCTATCAAAATTAATGAGTGTAATATTTTCATATTATCTGAGCCTTTGGAAAAGAACATATGAAAATTACAACACAAGATAATGAGTATCAGATATCATGTATCACATATTTAGATATTACAACATGTATGTTCATCACATGTATTTAGTTCGCAACTACTGTATTTTCTCAATAGAAAGAAAAATTACTTTTGTTATTTGTGTGAATGCGACCAAATCTTATTAGCACTTCTGATCTCATTCGCATACTGGAACAGTGCTCGTTGAACACAGTTTTTCTGTCATGACATTGACAGCAATTAAAAAATAATTTGTTAATGAAGTCGTCAATTTATTTCTGGATATAACAATAGCAATTCGCTCAATTTTATAGTAGTGCGAAATATCAAATATATCTATGACATTTTGGACTTTGTTACTTGAAAAATTGCCTGGTTATCCAAATTTTTTTTTTAATTCTGGTATCCTCATGACACAAACCGTAATAATGAAAAAATAAACTATATTTTCTCTATTACAGTATTGTTATTATTGTAGTAGCACATGTGCCTAAAGGCCGACATTTACGTCCATCCCGATGGACGGAGTTTAGTATTCTAATTTGACTGATTATTCAACGACAGCAACTGTCAATCGTTCATTAAATGCAGATAGTCAATGTCTGCACTAATCTTTTGTATATGTGTATAGTAACTGATCTGAGCTGTGTAAAGTAAAACAATTAATTTCTGGTGACGAGACAGCTTGTTGGAATCCAAATTCAAATCTGGTATATGCACAGTCTATTATACACTGACATAGTCTATGCTGCAATATTCTATAAATATATTCACAGACATTAAGTACAGTGCCGGCAAATTCGAAACTCAACTGTTTTGAAACCCGTTTTCCTCACAAAAGTAAATGGTCTAGCTGTCAAATTCATGGCATCATTCATGTTTGAAAAATAGGAAATATAATGCAATGAATCACTGTTTCTTGTGTTTTTGTGGAGCTTTTAGTCATCGTTGTTGCTGTGGGTGAGGGCGACTTCAGTTGAATAATATACCATGTCAGTCTTTAAATAAATTACTGGAGATGTCTCTATGGTCAAAATGAGAAATATACAGTATACCGGTACAAAAAAATGCTATTTTTGTGTTTTACTGGAGATGCGCTTATAATGAAAAAAAATACAATACTTAGTTTGGCCTGTACCTCCTTAGGGGCATAAATTTCATGAAATTTGCTGTGACCTGATGTCCTGAAAAGTTTTTACTGTCAGTAATGTAATCTTCTCTGCTACAAAATTCCAAAGTTTTCCCTAACTTCACTAAGTATATAAATTCATACAGCAGTTTACAATAGTTGTGACATTATCATTCATGTGCCTATCAACTACCAGTTTGATGTGATGTGCATACATACAACAGCTTACAATGTACCCGGTAGTTTTGAGTTCTCTGGTAGTATTTTTAATGCACATTGTCAGTTTTGCAATAGAAAAAAGGTCAATTAACCAGTCATTATATTTTGTAGACACATTATTATTTGGTCCAACTTCACAAGTGTGTATGAAAAAAAATCCATCCATCCACAATTTGTTGTATTATAAAAAATCAACATAATTGGTTTAGCAATGAGACTGAAATCTCTGCATAAAAATATATACTAGATATTCTCAATGCCTGGATGCATACAGTGTACAATATACTTTGTCCTGAAACTAACAATAAGAAAACCCGAAGGTGAGATATTGTGCCATGCTATATTTTACATTGTTCTTTTCAGTTCGCATGTACTGTTAAATCGGTATTAGAAGCTGTGGCTTCTATTAAAATGGTACAATGCAACTGAGGGGATGTGGTTTCTATTAGAACATTTACACGTTCATGTATAAGAAATAGTAAATTTTTGGTTCTCAATTGTTCAAAAAGAATGGGTGTGACTTCAATTAGGGATGCGGTTTCTAATGAAGATTTTACAGTACTGATGATTTATTTGTATTTGCATGAAATCACAGGTTATGGAGCTACTGCTGTGGTTCAGGCTGCAATATGTAAACCACTGAATGAGAAAGTTGCTATCAAGAGGATTAATTTGGAAAGATGTAACACTACTATGGAAGAACTCACAGTAAGTATAGCTGATTATATTGTCTTTTTTCTGTCCAAGTCATTTGAAGGTTCTGTATAAGGTCTACAAAAGTGTGCTCAAGCATATATTGTCTACTTTTCACAATTATACAGCTACATATATGCAGTGACTGAAAAGTGTTACAGTAGTAAACTGTGTTTTTTTCAGCGGAAATATACAGCCTCAGTTAATACATTGTACTGCATGTAGATTTGTCATTCATTTTCTGTGATGTACATTGTTTCCAATGACGTTCATCAATTTGGTATACAGTATCAGAAAAACTTTTAGATTTGTGAGTGCCAGTAATGATGAACTAATAGAATAACAGTCAGTTATTATTCAGAATAATTACAGTTATTATTCAGTATAATAAAACAAACTGTTTACTGTCCTCTCTCACTGGTTATTTATAAACATTTTATAAATATACATTGTTAGTTCTGATGTGCGGTTCATATAGGTGATTGTTTACGTTCTGTTGTCATGTGTCATCAACAATTCTATTTTTGACCTCTTGAAAACTACCAGAACAATTAGTTTGATAACAAATCAGCAAATGTTTAATTTTTTATATGTGGGTGTTCACAGTCACTGTGTCATGTAAAGGTAAGCATGAGCATGGGTGTAGACAATGTTTAGCTCTTGAGTCAGTCACTACTAAATATTTGTTTTTGAATGAATGCTGATCAGTATTTACAATTTTTTTTTATAAACATGTTTATAAATAAAGCCTCTGTCAATATTATTGGCTCATTGTTTTATTACAGTAACTGTAAAACTCTTATCTTCACTGTGTTTTAAGGTCACAAATTTGTCATCTATTGTTATTTTGCATACCGTATAGTGACATTTGAATGAAATCCCAGTAAATAAATTAAATGTGTTTACTGTAGTGGTACATGTACATTAAAACAAAAGTGTGTTCTATAATTGTTGAACATCGAATTTGTCACCCATGGGAGTCGCATTATTGCTGTTATAATTGAGTATTTGTGGAACTTTACACTTACATTTTTGTGTCCATGTGACAAAATGTAGAGAAATGTACTAATTTTGTCATCTGATTTGACTCAGACTTAAGAAACCCTAGCAGATTATGAGAGGAGATTTTTCTTATTGGTGGTAACATTAAGCATGCATGTACATAAAACAATTTTGAGTATTATATGTATAAAAAAAGTAATTTCTTTTATCTCAGTAAAATATAGTTATCATTTTTTACAGAAAGAGATCCAAGCCATGAGTCAATGCAACCATGAAAGCATTGTTAATTACTATACCTCATTTGTTGTAAAAGAAGAGTTATGGCTTGTTATGAAACTACTTGCTGTAGGTGAGTAATCAGTATATGAAAGGAGAGAATGCATCCATGCATGCAGTGTAATTAACTGATCATGTAAAGACACTTAATACAACCAAATGTTTGGCTTATATTATACAGTGCAAAGTGCTTAGAGAGTGATAATGTAATGTACATTATTTTTTAGCTCCGCTGTCAACAAAGTCGACACAGCGGAGCTGTTCATACATGTATTACTGATTGCCCGTCGCCGCCGCCATCAGCGCCAACTTTACAATTTCAACTTCTTCTTCGAAACCGCAAATCAGAATATTTTCAAATTTGATATGCAAGTACCTCGGAAGTTTCTTTCTCAGATTTGTTCGTTTCATGTCAAAATCTTAAATTCTCTATTTTTGGTGAATATTTTTGTCATTTTT